ACTGAGTATACTACTTACTATCCTCTAAGTACTCTCTTATATAGTATTTATTAGAACTATGGTTTATGAGGACCTCTTGAGTTGTATAGCAACTACAAGGTTATATACTCCTAGCTATTAGCTATTTTTGTAATTCTGCTTTAATAATTTATCTTGTTAAAGACTAGCCTAATATTATGAAATTATTTAAATAGCAAACTAAATCACTTCTAGCTATTTCTAGTTAGTATCATATTAGTATTAATAAATCCTAACTCTTTTTGTTATAAACTTCTATATAGATATGACTAGAGCCTGAATTGGTACCTTTAGTTATACAGGGGTAGATTACATTCTTCATGCCAAGTAGCCTTTTATAGTTGTTTTACTAGTACCAGAGGTGCTTCTAATTCTAGTTAAGATATGATCCTTTACTATAGCCTATAGTTGTGTATCACTGCTTCTTTCACTACTTCAGTTTTGGTAATATTGTATCACCCTTTCAAGCAAGTATCTAATACTATTCTATATTAGAACTTATATGCACAATCAATTAATCATCCTTTTAAGCAAGTATCCACAAGTTAGATATGAGAATGTTGGTATTGCCAAATACAGAAATAATAGAATATTGATGTTGCCTCTAAGTCACCCTAACCAGAGGATTTATATACGCAATCTTCTACTGCTTAGACTTTCTGTGATACTATTATTATAAATAGTACTTTTACTTTACAACTTGGTCTTTTTCTGAGAACTTTTTATTTTAGTTTCATACTGCACTTGGACTTTTTCACAGGGCTTTGTATTTGATTATAGCTCTCATAGATTATAGAGACAAATTTTATTAAAATTTGCCTCCAGCCTGACTCAAACTGTTGATTTAGTCTGTGGAGGTTTGAGAGCTTAACCAATAAGCTATAGAACCCAAACTTCTAAAAACAAAATTTAGATAATTATAAAAAGATGTAACTATATAAAAAACTTTTATATAGTCATAATTATAATAAATAAAAAATTTGGTGACTATAAAAAGGTAGCTTAAATACTTTACTATTATATAGAATATCAAATACTTAAGTGACATATTATGTATAACCAATATAGTATTTCTAAAATAAACTAGTCTTTAATTTTTTTTATATCACAGCCAGTCAAGAGATCAAAGAAACCTGCAATATAGAATTGCATGAATTAATATTTAAGTTTTCAAGAGCAAAGCAATAATTATATGTCAGAAAACTAAATAAAATACAGATTTTAGATGAGATAATAGGAATAGCTACTAAATAGCACTAATTAAAACTATTCTAAATTCTAACCAAGGGCTTATTAATTCATAAATTTAAATTAAGTTTAATAGGTTATCTTCGGTAGTAGTTACAGATTTCAAAAGCTAGATTATATATAATATTAATTTTTTTTTTTTTTTTTTTTTTTTACTATGTATTTTTTTTATTATTTTAATCTTTGATTCTTTCAAGTTATATAAATTATAGTAATCAGTTTGTCTATTGTTTTAGACAAAAAAATTTGCTTACATTTAACATATTGATATGTTAAATATATATAATATGCTTAAATAAATTGTTTGTTTAACATAAATAATTTCATAAGATTTATTTATATCATTTTTTTTTTGTAGCTAAAAAGATGAATATTGAGAATAAAAGAAGAACAAATTATATAAGTACCAATCTTGTGTATATAAATCCTATAAATCTTGTGAATACAAATCTTGAAGATATAAATTCTAAGAATATGAATCTTGAAGGTATGAATTCCGAGAATATAAATCTTAGAATATGAGTTCTGAAAATATGTATTTTAAAAATATAGGTTTTAAGAATACAAATCTTGAGGGTATAGGTCTTGAAAATATGGGTCTTGAAGGTCTTGAAGATAGGAATTTTGAGAATAGTCTTAAGAATATAAATCTAAAGAGTATAAATTATACGAGAATGAATTATAGGGATTATGAGAGGATGAATCATGAGGATTGTAGAGAAATTGATTATAAATGAATAAATTGTAAAGATTTGAAGTTTAGCAATTAAAAAAACTAGTAATTTTTGATTGCTTTTTTGATTTTGCATATATATATTTATATTTCTTGAACAAATTTCTTAAAAATCTCAATTCCTTTAATATAATAGTTAATTCTGAATTTTCTTGTTCTTCATATCAAATAATAGTTTGCATCATATTATATACTTTAGCAGCTATTACAGGTAGGTCAGATGTCTCATCTTTATTTTCAATTTCCTGTTTAGTTAGCTCTTTTTTATTTTTCTCACCTTGAACTGTGGTAATAATTTTTTCATCATTAAGTATTTCTTCTGTAACAATAGAATCATTAACTACTTGTATATATATTGCTATAGTCTGAGCTGGCTCAGATGCATATATGTTCTTATAAGGTAACTTAGTAATAATTTTCTCGATTTCATTATTATCTAATAAAATATTATTTTCAATATACTGATCTACAGTATCTATTTCTGATTTGAGTAGACA